TGTTTTCTAGAGACACTCTGACGCTACAATTTTCTTTGATTAAATATCAAATCGACAACTTACTTAAAAAAATATATATATATAGAATTTCATATAAATTTTTCAATTTAATAATATAATATTTATTTAACACGTCCCGTGCAACAGGAATTACGAGTTTCACCAGAGTGCCGAAACGAAGCTGAAATGTCATATGAAAACATTTAATTACAAAGAAATTCGTTCGAAACGAAACTCGTTCCCTTTCCTAAAAATTCCATTACCGAATATAGACGGTGAAAAAGAATAATTCAAAAGAAATCACACCTACTGAACCAATGAAACACCTGTGGAACCACAAGTACGAACGTCAACCCTTTAATCTACAGCAACGAGTCAGACTCGTGGCAGAAATTCTGGTCAAGATGCGACGAAAATAATGATATTAATAAGAAAAATTCATTGTAATCTGAACTTTCGTTTGAATTTCTAGCACTAAGGATTAGCAAACGCAGTTAATCCGTGAGAGACTAACTTTTCTTACCTGATACAGTACTGAAATACCAAATGACACACTTAGATGCATATTCCGAGAAAAATCATAGGGGTTAAAGGGTTAACGCTACATTTCCTCCGTCCACTGTGCAACCAAAGCGATCCCGACAATTATTCCCCGAGATCGGTAGAAAACAAGAGACTATAAGGGAACTCTAAACACGTATCCCAAGTGATCGACGATTTAATGAACTCGTGACTCGATATTACGGCCGGTTTACACGGCGGCGATTAAAACGAGCCAGGTCTATCCGATCGGACGCGACACGATGTTCTCTCAGCGGGCATTAAGCCGTGTCGTTTATAATGAGCCGCGCCACGATTAATTAGGCTCGCGCCATATTGCCGAGCAATTAATAAAGCCTCATCGGTGATTACGATAGAAGCCAAGGGAAACGTTTTATACGGGGGGACCTATAGTATCTCTTCGGCCGATCAAATTACGTTAGAACGGCCACTGTGGCCCTGCCATCGCATAACATCTGTTTGTTCGATAATTCATGAACCTCTCTCTCTCTCTCTCTCCTCGCGAAACATTCTACTCCTGCCCACCGTGCACAAGTTTCTTCTTCTTCTTCTTCTTTTACTTCTTCTGGCTGGTTCATGTTGCGCGTGTTGCTACTGTCTTCTTTCTTCCTCTTCTACATCGACATTCGTTTCTTTCACCTATCATTAACTTTCAAACCACTGGGTGGCTTCTGTGTTGCTTTGTGTCTTCTTCTTCTTTTTCGTTTGCAGAGAGTTGCAATTGATTTTGTACACAGCAGTGTGGATAAGTTGGGTGGAATTCCTGGCCAATTTTCTTGTGGGTACTAATTGCTAATTGGAATCTGTTTGCTGAATTTCAAGCTTCTACGTTGTTTGTGATTTTTGGTAGTGAACTTTACTTAACCTCTTCGGCGACGATTTTTTTGGAGTTAGAGAAAATTATCTGATTTTGTGTGTAGTTGCATTTTTGTGTTAGATCGATGGCAATTGAACTGCTTTCCCTGTTGGGAGATTGTGTTTTTCGTAGTTTCTCTGTCACAAATATTGGAATTTCTGGAAAAATTAAACGTACACATATGCGTCGGTGTCCCTGAAGAGGTTGAAAGAAATCTGCTAAATTTAAAAGACCCTTTCTTTTTCATTCTCGAAGAATTATTGCTACCTTCTGTCCTTTCCAGTCGTCTTCCTAGCCCCTAACAAATTCCTTCCCTATCCCTTTCCTATCCCTTTCCCATTTCCTGGTTTTCCCCAAATTGTTTCAACTTTTGCACACCACCTTCACCCTCACGTTCTCCTTCCAGTTTCCTAATATCCAATCACACCTCCGCATTCTTCGAGACCTTCTTTCCCACCACCTTCGACGCCCAACCAATCACAACATACACCGACCTAATATATACCCACGCACCACCACAAATAAACGAGTTGAAAAATATTCTTACGGAGAGAAACCTCTTATTCACTATCACCACACCAACTACTAGAATTTCGTCCTTCCGGGATTAACACATCGGGAGATACTAACCGAGTTCGAGCTGAAGCCAGCCTCGTTCACGAGTCGAGCATCGTACACCTTCTAATAAGGATTTTCGAAAATTCTACAAATTTCATTCAACGCTACAAATAGATTTCCACGACTGAATAACAGTTTCAATTAATTTCTAACACTGAATAAACTGTTTCTAAAAATTCCCAAGCATCTACCCTTCTTCTTCTTCCTACAGTTGATTCATTCTTCGATTACGTCAACGACCAACCAGGAAGCAGTAGCAAAATATATTTCTCCACTCTGGGCAACCATAAAATGTAATCCCATCTCGTCTAAAAAATTGATGGAATATTTATCACCGCTCAGATGCTCGAAACGAGCGATCGCTCGGAAAGGAACTGTTGAAACGACTGAAATGATCTATTATCGACTTAATTAATTACCGAAACTATCGAGACGAAGTGAGTGACAGTCGTGTGCAAGCGGTCAATTAGCTAATTTTAATCTTTCCACGGGAATATAAAACGTACGGCGACGAGCCTAAACGAAAAGCCAACCGTGCAAGACCTAATCCTCGAATGAGAATAAAAGCGATCCGATTGATCGTTACGTTCCACGCGGCAGTGGATTATTAAGAAATCGCCGGAGAAAGGCGAGATTACGGCAAAAACTAAATTACACGGCTTCGTTTATCCGTGATTACATTACGCGGAGAAAACACGCGATAAATAACAGAGCTTCCTTCGCGATGATGTTGCCGATCCGATAACAAAAACTCGTCGCGAGATACAGAAAGAGAGTTACGTCGACTGAACCCCGGCGGGAAAACGTTCGATCCTTCTTTTTATCTGCTTGCATATTTTGTTTGTTACGTTCCGACTGCTTTTCTTTTGCAGTCACGGTTTAACAAACTCGCGATCGTTCTTTCGTTGCGAAAGAATTCCGTTCGAATTGAATTGAAAATTGGGGACGAACAGAGGGATTGAAAGATATTTGAGAATTTTTAGATTATTCGCTGATTATTAAGGAAGATCTTAATTTATCAGGAAAGGAGATTGGATTGTTGAGGAGGAAAATTTGAATTTACCATTCGCTGATTATTAACACGTTAAGCGCCATGTCAGTCACCGGTGACTGACAGTATACTTTTCGTTCGGGCCGCGTCAGTCACTGTTGATTGACGATGTACAATTTAAAAAATTACATTCTTCTGTTAATAAATTTTAAATAATTTGGAGATCACGAAAGAATGTACCTAAATATTACTTGTTACCAAAAAAAAAATTTTAACGAGTATTATTAAAACACATGCAGTCTTATCGCAACCTTACACAGATCTCCGGCCGCCAGCATATCGGTGAAATCGGGTATCGCGGGCTAAAAGGAAAGGAAGACAAAACAGGCTTGGCGCTTAACGTGTTAAGGAAGGCATGCTTGCTCGAATCGTGTTCAGGATAATACGGAAAATTGAAGTTTGCCAGTAAAGAGTGTGTGTTAAAATTGCGCAACCGCAAGGTACATTGTGAAACGATTTTTACGAGCAATGAAGCGTGCAACAGGGAATAAAAGCGTCGCGGAAGGATTAGTATCGGGACCGGATGAAAATGGTTCGCAGGTGCTCGAACCAGCGCGAAATCGAAGGAATACAGTTTGGTCTGATTGCGCGTGACCGGCCGAGCTTTCCAATTTCGACCACGTTTTCGTCGATCCGATTGATAGAAGAGAAAGGACCTTTCTACAGCGGTGCCTCTCGATGAAAATCGATAGCGCAGAAACCGGAAGTGAAAATGTGTTACTTTTTCAAGAAGAGTTTTACCTCGCGAACAAGTGTCTCGTTACCTTTCTCCTTTGATTGATCTACTAATAATTATAGAAATTGACAAATACAGGACCAGAGTGATGATCGTTGAAAAACAACGACAACGTTAAATGTTAGAATTCCCTGTGAAAGATGTGTGTCGAAGAAAGTCTCCGTGATAAGAATATGCGAATAGAAACTTTCGTTCGCAGAATTTTCATGCAAAGTATCGATAAATGTCAATAGCTGAAGAAAGTGTTGAAATTAATTTTCTTCACTTTCGTCCTGTCTCTTTGTACGAAAGAAGGAAGAAACTTCAATGCCGTTTCTGTCTTGGAATTCCAGTCGATTCGTAAATCTACTTAGAGGAAATAGGATTAGTTTTCGAAGATTCTAAAACGGGAAACAGCTGAGGATCTCTTTAAACCCGTGGACGATTTAGGTCCCCGAAGGATCAGAGATGGAGAAAGGCGGGATCGAGGAACCGATCGATCGAAGAAGGAAGAGAGTGCAACGGACTTTCCTCGCTCGTTTCGGTTTCAGGTAGCCGTTTGTTCTAGCAGAACCAACACCGGTTTTCTGGGTCGCGCCTCTCACTGGCCTATACTCCGGCCTCTTGGCAAAAGTGACTATTGAATTTGCAGCCCGCCACCTTGTCCGGTGAATGGGCTATCGATTCCGGATCGAATCTGTTTCTGACCTCGGCAAGGATGCCGGAGATCGATTCGCGTTCGACGCCCTTAGCGAAAACTATTGTCTAACTTGCGTTGTAAAATTCAGGTACGATAACAGTTTGCTCGTTTTTGCTTCGACTGTGATATTCCTGTGTCTAACTCTTGGTTAGGCTAGTGGAGTCTGACAAATCCAACCACATGATTTTCACTCTTACGCAATTTTGAAAGTAAAATCTGCATGAAAAGTTAAACGTGGTTAATTTTGATAAGCAACGATGCAAGAAATGGATGCGGGAAAAATTGTCAGACTGACGTGAAGTAATTCAGGAGAATGAGCTATTTTTGGAGATTGACCTAGAAAATTGAACGCACAGTGTATAAGGCAACTTTTCTTCTGCTTTCGTTTTTAATTAATTTCGAGCATAAGATAGGAAGACTGTTTCGTAAATGTGACAGATGAATTATGGACCACGATTGTGAACGATAGTAGTATGAATGTTGCTTTAACAGCAATTACCTCGAGCTGTACGCCGAAGAGGTCTCGCGATCTACCGGGTCTTGAGGTTTCTAACTCCTGCATTTCGGCTTCTCTCTCCGCCAGTCCCATTTCTTCCAAATACCTGAAATACAGAACACAACACCACTTAAATTTAACCTTCATTTTTCGCCGTTATCTTGGTAAATTGCAACGTAGTCTAGTTATTAACGTTTAATAACAGAAATTGAAGCAACGAAGCACCGACGAGTTCCTGTTAACGTACAACAGCGAAACGTAAAAGAATTATTGTAGTATCGGGGCCCAGATACCCAAATAGGAAACCTCGAAGGGAGAATAGAGAGGGAGTGGTTGGCGTAGCGCGCAAAGCCTCGGCTGGGTCCTTCCCTGGGGCCTGGGTCCTTCAATATTTTTCCGTCGTCGGTTCCTACATATGGGGGCTCGTCCGGGATGGAGGCATCTACGGCTACACGAAGCCAGGAGGTGTGCGATGGAAACATGTTGAGGGTTGCACGTCTCCCAAAAATGCGTTGTTTCGGCTGTGTGCCACTGTGTTGGGGGAGTGTGCCCGAAAGTGTTGAGTTTGTGTTGCACTGAGGACATTCGAGGGCGAATGTCAGTTCAGGATGGCCGAGTGTAGTATCGGGGCCTCCATGCCCAAATAGGAAACCTCGAAGGGAGAATAGAGAGGGAGTGGTTGGCGTAGCGCGCAAAGCCTCGGCTTGCTAAGCCGAAGGACCCGAGTTCGATTCCCGTTGGGGTCCCTCAATATTTTTCCGTCCTCGGTTCCTACATATAGTAGTAATCGAATACACATATTTCCACCGATATACGACACCAACTTTGGCGAAGAAATTTAGAAATTTCATTCTTCGAAGATACACACTCTCGTCCGTAAATAATTAGGACACCTGCAGAATGAGAACCGAACTTAAGGTAGTCGTTACAAAGTCACAAAAATTATTCCGCCTGAAATCTCGTAGTAATCGAATACACATATTTCCACGGATATACGACACCAACTTTGGCGAAGAAATTGTAATTAAAATCGCGGTTGCCCAATGCTTACGAAACCTACGTACAAAATAGAATTCACAATTGACAAGTGCCACGAATTCAGTCACCGACAAAAATTCGGCTTGTAACAAAATACCCAGAAAAAGCCGCAAAAAATTGAACAACCGGGTCTAATCGAACAGCAAGAGGGTAAGTGGTTAAAGAGAAGAACGCGTGAGTTTTGTATACATTGTTCAGCGACGAGTGGCCGTGAATCATACGAGGCAACGAGGGAACAATCCCAGATGCTTCCAGGTGCAATTAAACGTCTCTAAACGTTGCGTGCCAAGCACGGCAACAAATCAAGTTCCTTTTTCTTTCTTCCTTCTCTCTCTCTCTCTCTCTCTTCTTCCTTTTCCTCTTCTTTTTTTATTTCATTACGAGGACCGTGCTTAATGCAATTAGAAGAAGATTGCCGCGCGGACGCGGCGAAACCCACGCGAAAACGCGCAACAACACAATGCGTCTCGGTGAAACAATGGATGCACTTGGAGCTTCTCGTACGCGCATCGACCTTAACGATACCGCCGACAGCGAGATTATTCGGTAATTATTCGTAATTAATCTCGCAGTGACGTTCGAACGGCACGGCATTGTCTAACAGATTCGCTGAATTATTTTAATTGCAGCGGAATCGATCGGTTATATATCCGAGAAAGACGTCGAGGAATTATAGGAAACGGGAGGATCTTGAAGCGGATGGAAGTTTCCGAAGAGAAGGAAATTACAATCGGTTTGTGACGTGAAAAGGACAATAAATATTTAGATACGCTATGTTCTCGTTGCGTGATATATTTAGATATTTCCATTCTGATTTATTTTTTGTAATAACATAGAGTAGGTACGGTAGAGTTTAGAAATTAAATTGACTCGACGACGAATCATTTCTGAGATCGCAGCTCGACTTTTAAATATTAGAGCGAATGTTTCAGTAGAAATTTATTTTTTTTTTTCTTTTCATTTGAAATAAAGATTGCTCGTTTTTGAAACTCCGTGCAATTTTTGTTTACCCCGGTTTTGTTGTTGTGCTTGAAGTTTAACGGGGCAAAGATTATGCAAATATGAAAGATTTTGCGAATTAATCGCTAAAAATGAATTACCGACGGAGTCGGTCGGTAACATTTTCGCTACACGGATTCGCGTTCTAAAATTAACTTCAGCTAAACGAATAAAGGTGAATAACTTCGTTCGGTTTCACGGTTTTACGACACTATTTCGTATAGCGGACATGAAAATGTCAAGCTGTCACGTTCGCAAACCTTCACCGCGTTACTGCGTCATCGATTGCGTTACAACCGGTAGATATTAGCAATTAGATTTTTTTCTTTCCATGCAAAGTTTCGTTCCCGGTTTATCGTTTCACGTTCGAACCGTATCCACAGCGAGATAGTATGAAATTATAAGACTAGCTTTTTTGCTTAATCGCTAGAGAACCATCTACTATCGTTAGCCTTGCCCCTCATCTGACGCACGATGCGCTTATTATATTGAAATGAAGCGCGCTATAGCTCGCTTTTCCACCTTTCTGGCCAAGTTGCTTCTGACGAAACAGCGTTTTGCAATAGAAAAGAAGAAGAAGAAAAAGAAGTAACGAACTTTCTTGTAAATCACATTGCTCGAATATACGGCACAGAGTTTGCTTTCGCGGAAAATTCGAGTGCACGAAAGTGGATTGGAAAGCAATGATATTGCGAAAGTTTGACAAGGAATTTCGTAAAGGAGAAGAAACATCACTTCCTGGACGCACCCTGCCGTTGCAAGATTCAAGAATACTAACGAAACAGAGCATAGTTAATTTCGATTGCGCTAGAAGTTCGATTGAAATTTTCGGCGATCTTCTAATCGGTGAAGATTCCTTGAACAAACTTATTACTTATTTTTACGGGAAGATTTCCGCAAAATCAAAATGATTTTGAAATTATACTATGTACATTGAGAGAGATTACACTCTCTTCGTCTTATATTTTTCGAGAGCACAGTGGATATAGTTTAAAAGCGGAACGAAAATAATGGTCACTTGCCTCCCGCTACAGCTCTGCAATGCTAAGTTTTTAATCAGTGAGGGTTCTTCGAAAAATCGACTTCGCACAGCTCTTTATTTCCATTTTTATTACACTCTCTTCGTCTATATTTTGCGAGAGCACAGCGGATATAGTTTAAAAGCGGAACGAAAAGAGTGGCGGCAACAAATGGCCTTGTCTGGCCTGGAGAAACCTTGGAACCCAAAAACACTAGGACGCGACGTAAATCCAAAAGCCTCGATTACCAATTCCATCGTTCCCAATTAGAATCAGTTTCGACCAGAAAATCACACCGTCGCCGTAAGATATCGTACTTCGCAGCAGCGTAATTCTAGCAGAGGCTACCAGCAAGGTTGGAAAGAGGCTCTAGAATCGCTGTAACAGTGGAAGGGACGTGGGTTAGAGGCGGAAGCAAAGGTGGTCCGGAGGTGGCAATGCTAACGGGATCACCGATACGGATCATTAGCGTTGGCCGATGTGCTCTGCGAGTTCGTTTTCTCGGACGCGACCACGAAATCGTTCGGGTCGCGACCAATCTCGAAATCGAGCACGCTGCATCACCGTGCCGGAATTTTCCCGTTTCGTTTTCCACGGCTGTGAGTCACCGGTGACTGCTGTTGCGAGATCAGCCACCGTGGTTGCGGCGGAATCGCAACTGAGCGCATTAAAGCGATTTAGCGAAATTCCCGGAGGCCACTTCTCTCTCGCCTTCTCACTCTGTCTGGCTTCCTTTTCCTTTGTTCCTGTTCGTCCGTCTCGTTTCAACCAGGCGAGCGTTTATGTAAATGAAAGTTCGCCAAGATAATCGACGCGGCCGCTTTTTGTTTGAAAATCTCCCTCTCTCTTTCTCGATTTCTTCTTTTATCTTTTTCTTTTAGGCGGTGACTGAGTTTCGCGGTAATTTAGCGAGCTGCTCGAAACGAGTACGGTCGATTGAGTTTGTGGCGAATGATTAGGATCGTGGAAAATTCCACTGGACTTTAGTGTCTAATTTTCTACGGTTGCTGTATTCTGAATGGATGTTGAGTTTATTTAATGTTTGATAAGGATTAGTTGTCTTCGAGAGTCGAGGAGTTTTTCTATGACTAATTTTTCAGACATGCGTAGCTGAGGATCTTATACCTCTCTGCTGTTTCTTGAGAACAACCTTCTGTTCATTGTCTCTATTCTTGTAGTATTTCAGCTATTACATTGTATATCACACTTTCTAAGTGGCTCTATAAATAAACGTGGATGGACAGAATTGCTTTGTAACTTGGAAATAAACGAACTTTGTTCAAGTTTCGCACAAGTATTTCTAGACACCATGTATTTAAAAAAATCAACGATTCTGGAAATGTCTGTTTGAAAAATTGCTTAAACTTCTTTAAAATTCGACTTTATAACTATTTTAATAAATTCCTAGGTTACCTATTTTTCAAGGAATGCGTTAATATAAATTTTAAAAGATGATAATAAGAATTTGTTAACAGGTCATGAAACATAAGCATCCACCTATTTTACTTTAAACTTAAAAATTCGCGAATTTTTTTCATTTCATTCCAACGTTTATCATTTTTACAAAAATTCAGACTCGTTCTACTCCCAGCGGTAATTTACGGAAGATTTTCCCAAGACCGTATTCCAAAAGTGTCGCAACGACGTAATTGGACCGCCGGCCAAGTACAAACCACAAAACGCTCGTTCCTAGCATCATCAACCAGCGCGGCGATTATTCTTAACAATCAATTTCATCCAGAATTTCGAAACGAAATCTCCATCAAACTCCCCTCATCTTCGGCGTTCCTATTCCGAATCCACGCTGGCCGTGCAATATTTCAAAAGTTAATCGACAGAAAACTACAGAACTACCGGAATCAATCTCTCGCCGTCATCAATCAACCCCGAAGAATCGTTCAAAGCGCACAAGTCTGCTTGACACGCGATTCGTCGCGCGTTCATTTCTCCGCTGGAGGCGGTCAAAAGGGGTTGGAGCGTTGACGCGGACTCGTGAGCCTCAAAACA